CAGCTCCGCTTGAAAGTCGGTCTTCGATTTGACCTCGCGTTCAAGGCTCTCTTGGGCATTGTGCAACTCCTTGAGGGCGTTGGCTTTCTCGGTCCGGGTAGTCTCAAGCTCCGTAGACAGCGCTCGGCTCCCATCGCTCGCAGCCTCCAACTTAGTCTTGAGCTGCTCCAGCTCCTCTTTCAAAGCTGTCAAGGCGTCTTCGGTATTCTTGCTTGACAATTGCGACTCCTGAAGTTGCTCGCGCAGCGTAGAGATGACACTTCCACCGATCTCGATCTTCCGCAAGTGTTCAGCCGCATCCTTTTCGTAGCCGGTAATCTTCTGCTCCAAACGTGAGATGTGCTCCTGTCCGCGGTCAAGTCGCTTTTGCAAATCCTGGCATGTGCTGTCCTTTTCTGCAAGACGGTCCTGTAATGATGACTCGTAGCGGTCAGCCGTCTCGACCTTGTTGCGCAAAGAGTGAAGAGTTTCCTCCAAGGTGGCTGTACGGATCTCGAGCTCCCTAATCTCGGCATTTCGTTCGTCTAGACGATTGTTCAGGTCGACCTTCTCCTTTTGTAGCGCTTCAATCGTATGATGCATAGTTCCATTCTTCTGCTCCCACTCTGCGATCTCATCGCATTTGGCCTTCAGCTCCTGCTTGAGTGTCTCCTCGGAACCTGATGTGACAGTCAACTGCGCCTTAATCGACTCCAGCGTCTCCTGTACTGTAGACCTCGAGCGTTCTAGAGCAGCAATCCGCGACTGATGACTGTGAATCTCCTGTTCCAGACCTTCTCGTGTGGCTTCTAGGAGCTTTCCATCCTCCTTAGTTGCTGCACATTCACGTTGTAGTTGCTCTATGCGGCTTCGACAAGCAGCAAGCGCTCGATCTGACTCGCGTTTCGCTCGTATAAGACGGCTGTCGGAGGTGCGTATCTCGGAAGGGCTTGATAGTCGAGGAGTCAGCTCGAGATCTAGATCGTGCCATGGCGACGGTGACGGTCGTGTTGGAGTCCTCGGCGCGAGGGTGGGGCTGTCAGGGACACTTGATTGCGTCGGTGGGGATGGTGGTGGTGAGATGAAGAGACCTTTAGGCTTGTGTTGAGGTTCAGATTTCGGGGTAGAATCTGTACGATCCATCAGCAGTGGTAAAACCTCGACGCGGTATACTCACATTGAAGTGTCAGCACAGAGGCCCGCTCCAATGCCTCAAGAATCTCCTTGTTCCTGCCTTCTTCAACCCGCAGCGCCCTTTTCAACTCCTCCACTCTCTTCTGTGCATCCTTGCCCTCGACATAGTGGCTTGTCCGGCTCTTGGCCAGGTTCCTTGCAGTAGTTGCGATCTGCTTCTCCTTGACCGATATATTCACGGCCATGCGAAAGGCAAGACGCCGCAGTGATGTCACCGACCGCTTCGCTTCAGCCCCTGCGACCTGGTGAGCCTTGAGTTCAGCGCGGAGCGTATTACGCTGGGTTTTGATGTAGGAAAGATGCGCCCAATTCGATATGACAGTAGGTGCGTCCTCGCCCTTGGGTGGGGCTTCTGCGCTGTCTCGGCCATCGTGTTCAGATCGCGTAGACTTTGAAGAAGAGGGGCCCCAGTGTTCTAGCATGAAGCTGTCTGTCATGGACGATACGGAACGCGACAAGTTGGAGAGTGGGGTCGCAGACGGCCGAGAGTGTGGAGATAGATGTGACTTGTTCTCCTTGGGGAAGTCGCCAGCGCACTTTTGCATATCGATGAAGCTTGCTGGCAGGATGTTCTCCAGGCCAGAATGTATGCGCTCGCTAGCACTTGGACGGTCCAGGTCCTTGGCCTTGGAGGGCGCCATGGTGGGCGGTGGGTTATGCGACCATGAGGTGACGAGAACGCGACTTGCGCCAGAGGATGATCAAAACTCTGTATGCAATGTGGCTGGGGAACTGCTGCAACCGCCTGGATTGCGTTGGCGCTGACGGACTGGCACGGAACGGGCTAAAGGAGTGATTTGTGGTGGGCCACTGTCACAGGCGAGATGCGGGCTGCAAGGAAAACAGGGGTATGATAAGGATGCGAGAGAGACTGTAGGATTCGATGCGACTATAGAATCTATAGACGTAGACGGTGAAGTGGGAAGTTGGGCTGACACACGCGCCTCAGGCTGAAAGGACAGGATGCGCGACAGCCGTCGCACCAAGATGAATTATGACGATGGAGCGACTCCGGCTGTCAGTGGGTGGCATACCATGGTTCTTGCGATATTTTCCGGTCGCGAAGCGTTGGCGCAGTCGAGTAGCATGGGTCTTCCCAGGCCGGCGTCGATGGTGGACCGAGAGTGGGGAGAGACATGCCCCTCCGGAAGGTCTCTTCCATGACCTCGGGTTGCGATGACTGCTTCGCCCACTCACAATGATTGCGCGGGCAGGTGCTACCAGGCGACAAGTCACGTAGGAACGCGTGGCGTGATTTGAGTAGGACATGTCAGCGAGCTGTTTGCCAATGGCTGATATCAAGAATGAGATTTGACAGATATATGCACTAGGCTACTTGCGGCGATGAGGTAATGCTGCATGTCCCCGCTACGCGCTACGATCTCCCCAGGATGTTTGAAGCGAGCCCACGATCTGGTTCATCGCGTCGGCCTGTAATTTGGCCAATATTTGTCAATACAAAAGAACATTTACAGCATGTCGGGAATCGGATTATTGATTCCCAATAATATACAACGTCTAGCAGGTATCTCGGTCCTCTTGAAATGGATACGAACACGGCCACACAACGGCCCTACAACAAGAACTTCAATCCGATGAAGGGTCTAGATCCTGACGCGTTTTGGGTTCATCGGGACGCTTCGATACGTTCCGCGACATGGTGTACGTTGCTTTTGAGTACCGAAGTTGCAGAGGACCACCCTACGACTCAGTCGTCGTCATTCTAGAAAAGAAACATCGATGTTTTCATGCATCATTCCTGTTTGATGGCTGCACCGGCTTCCACATCAGAAAAAAAGGACAGGCTGCAATACTCAGATATTAATATCAATTCGGATCCCAACACGCGCGGAAGTGGTAGTTGGTAACTGGAGTGGATGCATATGCAAGTTTCATGACACGGTAGTAGAGCAGTAAGACATCAGGATACATGAACGAGGGGTCATACCCCTTCGATGTGCTATACCGAAAGCTGAGTCACCAACGCATTTAAAATGATGACTAGAGTCGAAGCCTACGCAAATCTCACAGCACGGTAGTAGAGTAGCAAAACGGTAAGACATGCGATAGATGACCTACGCTATAATGAATTCAAGCCGTCAATACAGCCGATCTCCATTTTGTCTTGGTCACAAGATACAATCCTTGTGCTGTTCGCACCTGGACGCGGACCATATATCAACTGTTACGTAGCCCTTACACTCACTTCTCAAATGGACATGCCTCTTTCACGCCTTATACTGAAGTTCATCTCATTTGCTTCGTATACTTAGTACATTTGATCCATCTACTCAGTACCAAGGTATATCTACTTCGTATACCTCTTCTGCAAATGCTTCCCAATAGTCGTAAGCTGAATATTACTCGTCCCCTCATAAATGGCGCCAATCTTTGAATCCCTGAAATACTTCTCCGCCAGTCCCTCCCTCACGAACCCCATACCACCCATCCACTCAATCGCCTGTCCTGACACGCGTCCGGCGACTTGACTCGACATGAGCTTCGCCATGGCAGCATCCATGATGAAGTCCTCACCAGCCTCCTTCTTGCGCGCGGCGTTGTAGACGAGGGCGCGGGCGGCTTGGATTTCCGTCCAGGCTTGCGCGAGTTGGTGCTGCATGGATTGGAATTCGCCGATTAGTTGGCCGAATTGCTTGCGGTCGTTCCAGGCGTAGCTAGATGATGTTAATGCGTGTTCCGATTTGTTTGTGAGAATGGTGTAGACCTACCCAGCGGCGTTCTCCCAAGCTCCCAGCGCGAGACCCGTCATCTGTGCTGCGATACCAATACGACCCTCGTTCAACAGCGCAATAGCGTACTTGTAGCCCTCAAACTCTTTACCCAGCAGATTGTCCTTGGGGATCTCGACGTCGTCGAAGTTGATGACGCAGGTACTGCTCGCCTTGATACCAAGTTTCTTCTCCTTCTTCGCAATGGAGAAGCCCGGTGTGCCCTTCTCTACGATAAACGCAGTGATACCCTTGTACTTCTTGCTAGGATCGAGGTTGGCGAAGACGATGAAGAAGTTGGCTTCGACGCTGTTCGTTATCCACATCTTGCTTCCGCTGATCTTGTAGCCGTTGTCTGTTCGGGTGGCCTTTGTGGCGAGGGCGAAGGCATCGGATCCGGATACAGGCTCTGACAGACAGAAGGAACCGACTGTGTTTGTGGCGAGCTTAGGCAACCATTCCTTCTTGAGCTTCTCGGAGCCGTACTTCAGGATGGCCGTGTTGACGAGTGTGTTGTGGACGTCGCACATGACGCTCACGCTGGGGTCGACGCGCGCCAGCTCCTCGATGGCGATGATGGCTGATGTGAAGTTCATGCCTGAGCCGCCGTATTCCTCGGGTATCTCGATGCCCATGAGGCCTTGCTCGAAGAGCTGCTCTACTACCGCCGGATCCATCGCTTCGGCCTCGTCCATGGCTCGGGCCTTGGGCAGGATGGCTTCGTTGGCGAATTTCGAGACGGACTCGCCCATGAGCATCTCCGTCTCAGACAGGTGGGTAATGGGCGTCGGTGGCACATCTGAGATGTCAATGGCTTCCCGGCGGGCGGCTGTCGTAGAGAGGCATCGTAATCTGCGCAGACATGGTGTTAGTCCTGTATATTGTCACTTTCTTGGTGTACACATACTGCGGGGCGGGGCGGGCAGCCGGTCGCAGCGAACGCGACGAGGCAGTAGCAACGCGGGTGAGGGGTCTTATTGATCGTGAGAAAGAGGCCATTTTTGCAATATTGGATCAGAAGAGAAGAAACGAATGTGGCAGTCCTGCAAGTCAACGACGGAAGCCCGCCGCTCACATGCCGAGGCAGCTTAAAGTTAGCCGGCGCAGGCCGCACCATGCATGCCATGTGTCCGGGGTTGTGGAGAACGCCCGTCACATGTCAGCCGCCACCAACCAGAACGAGCCCACCTCACGCACTGTGCCGCTGCGCTGCTGTGCTGCAGAGCCGCATGCTGTCGGATCTTTCTTAACTACACAACATCAAGCTGTGGAAAGTGTATTGCAAACTAGATACTAAGCTATAGCCTTGGTCGACAGAAAGCAGCGCAAGGGTATATAAGGTAGCATGCAAGAAACAAAGAAATCAACTAGTCGTAACACTGACATGACAAGGGAACAACAGCCTCTATTCAACAAGGAAAGCTGCCTTCCAGCTGCAAGAAAACCCCATCCTATTAAGAATTGTTATATCCGCAACTCCAACTTCGCCCCCCCTCATGACGCCTAGACGCGGTTGTTGGACCCCATGGCAAACCTGCCCGCCTGCATCTGCGCCTTGTACTCGCTCAGCTCGGCAGCCTCCTTTTGCTCTTCGGCGAGGAGTGCCTGGGCCTCCTTCCTGCCTGCGCGGCGCTGCTTGATGCAGCAGAAGAGGATGATGATGGACGCGATGGCTACGAATCCGAGGATACCGGCGATGATGCCGATCTTGGCGCCCTTGGAAAGATCGTTGAAGCGGTTCCTGACACCGTGGGGAGACTTGATCTCTTCGAGGGTCTCGGATTTACCCCTGCGTCGTGTTAGCGCTGTGCTGGTTGAGAGACGGACGTGATGAACTTACTGGATGACCTTGACCTTCTCCCAATCACCAGAGGCGTCCATGTTCTCCCACGAGTACTTGGCAGCCTTGGTATAGTCTTCCGCGTAGACGGACTGGATGGTCATGATGTAGGGACTCTTGTCAAAGTCTGTCACACCACCAGCCCACTCAATAACACCAGGGTCGTTCTTGTTGGGGTCACCCGCCGCCCACGATCCGAGACGGATGTTCATGGGTGTTTGAGGGTAACGAGTGCCGTTCTTGGCCTCTTCCGGGGTGAGCTCCCTGACCTCCTTGTCGTCCACATACCACTTGATGCGGTCCTCCCTCCAGTCGATGGTGTAGTTATGGTAGTCGTCCTGGGGGTTAAAGCCAAGATCAAAGTCCTTGCCGCGGTCGTAGGTCTCGGTGTCTCCCTTGCCGAAGTAGTTGGTCAGGATCATCTTGTCGTCGCCGCGGAACTCCCAGTCGATCTCGTCGAGCGCCTCGGACTGCAGGATGGCACTGGAGATGATACCCTTGCCGGTAGCCACCTTCATGACTACCTCGAGGCGGCCGAAGAGCATGTAAAAGACCGAGTTCGCCGTGGGAGAGTCGCCGGATCGCTCAATGGCAAAGGTCGCGCCCTTCTCGTTCCAGTCGATCTTGCCCTGGTTGGGCATCCTCCAGATCTTGTCGTTGTTCGGGATACCGGTCTTGTTCCAGTTGAAGGTGGCGTTTCCGCCGAGCGCCTCCATGTCGGGACATCCTGTGGTGTTGAGAGGGTTGCCTGTCTACGTCAGTACGTCTATCGCAAGTAACATCCAAGTCGCGTACAGTCGGTGTGAGTCTGCGCAGTAGTCGTCGAGATAAGGCCTGCGATAAGCGCAGCCGTGGAAAGGGCGAATGACTTCATCTCGGCGGATTACGATGATCTGTAAGCACGATGTGTAAAGAGCGTAGTAGTGCGCGTAGACCAGACGCGCTGTTGGTGTTTGTATCAAGGAGTGACTGGGATAGCGAGTGCTGAGTAAAGAGTGGATTCTCGAGACGAGAAAAGGAAAACGAGGGGAAAGTCGTTCAAGGGAGCGTCAGGGCTGCGTTTTAGAGACTGCGTGGTGAAGAGCATTTGGGGTGCTGCCCTGCACGCAGATTTAAGGAGTCGTCTAGTGCACAAATGCTCCCTGCCGCTCGCGATTGGTCGGCGGACCTTAAACTACAAACGGCGCTTGTCGATCCCCGAGAATAGCGACTCTCCTGAGCGCTTTGTGCAGTTCATGACTTGTTTGCTGAGGATCTGTTCATTGAATATTGCACTCGCCTCACTCACTGTCCGTTGCTGTCAATTGGTCTCGACGAGGCCGCAAACGATACCCCCAGCCGCTTGTGCGACCTCGCGCTATCGTGTCTCACCTGCATACCGCGGGTGGCTTTGCGCCAGGCCGGGAGCCAAGGAGATTATGAAACACCAGGCACTCTGCACTGCGACCCTTGAAGCGACCGTCTGCTCTCTACGCCACTCGCGCTGCCATGCGATATGCCGCTGCGATAGCGATACGGGGTGGAGAACGAATCCTAAACGCTTAATGGATCCGCATCGTCATGGCCCACCATTGCCGGCCTGCGCGCCACTCTATACGAGCCGAATTGCCGTGCTGCGTCCTGAGGGAAAAGGCCGTTTGACCGTGCCAAAAAGAGTCCTTCACCCGTCTGTGCTTCTTCTCACACAGTTGTACCCCGCCGAGCCACCTCGTCCAGAGACCTCCTCTCGGCGTCATTACGCTCTCCTTGGTTTCCATCTATCGTATCCGGGATTTCTCTGCCATCGACCCGCACGAAGAACTTGCCCCATGCAAATGCAGGACCGTCCATGGCAAACTTGCCCTGCATGCGCCAGCGGCCCATGTACACGTTAAGTGCGACGAGGACTTTGGCGAGACACGTCCAGTCGAAACCAAAGTACAGTCTTGCTCTGCCATCAGAGAAGACATACTTGTGCCAGATACCCCAGAGAACAATGTACTCGGCCTGATCTCCTATGTCGCCATCGTCGACCGTCATCCGATGCCATTGCAGCAAAGCCCGCATGACTTCATTGCACGACTCCATGACCTGGCGCGGCGAGCGCGAGTGGATCACAGCCAACGTTTCGTATCGACAGCCAGTTTGCAGGAGTTGTATACACAGAAGAGCCTTCTCCATTCGACTCATCGAACCCGAGCTCGCAATGAAGCCTGCATTGCTCAGCCACTCTTTGATCGCACGCAGCTCGTGAAGCTTCATGTAGTGCAGATAAGGCAAAACGAAGCGAGCATCCTCGATCCCTTGCATCGTCATCTCAGTAACCATGAAGCCGTTGCAGCTACCCCGGCGCTCTTTGTACGGGTCGCGCAGAACAGGATCCATGTTAGCCTCCTCTTCTTGTACGCGCAGCTTGACTTCGTTTCTCGGTTGTGGGAACTTGAGGGGATGCGTTGTAGGTAGGTGTAGACTTTCCGAGCATTGTGACGGCGCTCCGTAGATGATAAGACGCGGTAGTTGCCTCAGCGCCTCGAACGCGTTGGCGCGTCCTACTCTCTGGACTGCAGCTGGCGGTTGTATATCACCGACTGGTAGGGCACCGGACATGTGGTATGCATCTTCGTAATGATTGCTCTCAACAGACCGTCGTCGCGCGTCAAGAGCGTCACGAAACCCCTGCTTCTCTTCCTCCGCCTCACCGCGAACATACGCTTCAACCTTCCCCTTGTCCGTCCACGTATTCCTCCTCCCTCCATTCTGCGGCCCCGAAATCCTGCGCAACTTCACGCCGGTATCGCCGCCGCTCTTCGGTCCTCTCAGCCTCTCTTCAAGCTTCACCACGTTCTTATACGACCGCCAAGCATGTCTGCTGGCATCTTTGACCAGTGCCTCGATCTCATCTCCAATTTCGCAGTATAATTTAGCATTGAGCTTCTCTAGATCGCGGTGCGCACTCTTCAGTTCGCGCTTGATCTCTGTAACGCGGGTGACGTTCGATCGTTCGTGTTCGGTGAGGCCTTGGAGCCATTGGATGTAGCTGTTGACACCGCGCACGTAGTCTTTTATATCGTCTAGTCTGTCTGGGGTTGTGCCGACTGAGGGGTGGGGTGCGTGACGGCTTTTCGGCACCGTTGTGCGTTCGTTCGATAGCGGTTGCTCCGCAGTGGGTCCGGGGGTTGTTCCTACATCCGTAGCTACATCTGCATCTGCGGCTGCGACTATCGACCGGCGGGGGCTGAAAGGATTATAAAATCGGCCCATTGCAGCTTCTAATTGTTACACATGTCGTAGCATGGTTCTATTGCAGACCCCGGGTGGTCGCTGCCAAAACGCTCTTCGCTTCGTGTACCCTTAAAGGTCCACCTTTCGTGATTTGTATGGACGGGCATCTGGTTGGCCCAGCGCGGTCTTCTTCTGATACTGACAAAGCTCCTTAGCCTATGGATGCCGACCTGATATCCGCCATGTGCAGCGTAGAAAGAAAAATGCTGAATGCTATAGCAGTGCGCTGACTGCTGTTATTTTGACTAGAATCAAGAGCAAAGACAGGGAGCCAAAAATCTACGTCTCCCCAACAACATCTCCCAGCTCAGTCCGTGGCTTAACAATCGGCTTCACTTTACCCCTCACAAGCGTCCGCTGCTCAAGAGCATAAGCCAGCCCAATAATTTTTGCATCAGCAAACCTATCACCCAGGAAACTGAACCCAAACCTATCCTTACGATCAGCACTCACACACAAAACCACAATCCAGTACCAACTCACGGAATACCCGGCGCCGACTGCACCAACCCATCAGGATCAGCCACAACCGGCTGCTCATCCCCCATAGTCCCCATCGGTATAGAAACAACTGGCGCCCCAGCAACAGCAGCAAAGTACCATGCAAACCTCGACGGCAGGACAACAGCATCAAGTTTATGCTGTTTTATCGTTCCAAGCAATCCTCCTTCGCTATCATAGTACAGACCTTTCTGATACGCTTGCCAAAATTCTGGAGTCGTATTATTCCAATTCCCCAACGCAAAGTCCCAAACTCCTGTTGATTTGGCTGGGTAGCCTTCCAGTGGGCTTTTCTGTGTCCATTCGCGGAGAGAGGCCAGGGTGGAGATGTTGTGTGGGTTATAGGTGAGGCGTTTGAGGTACGATTCGATGTTTACGACGAAATCAGCGGACATGATTTGTAGGCCTAGGAGGCTGTCGTCGAGAAAGCCTTGGGCGGCTGGGAAATCGGTTTCTAGGATTGTGGCGCCAGATGAGCGGAGTATGTCTAGGGTGGAATTGAATGCTGTGACTATGGATGCTGTTGTATTGTCGGACATGAGCCTAATTACGTTGCGAGGTACGCCTAGTCGTGCGGCCTTGAGGGCGGAAAGTTTGCAGGCGCCGATGAAGTCTTTGTCGGCGTTGTCTGGGATGGCAGAGGTGTAGTTGTCCTGTGTATCGATGCCCACGATGCTTTGGAGGACGTAGGCGGAGTCTTTGACGGTTTTTGTTAGGGGGCCGATGGTGTCCATGCGCTCACTGATTGGGATCACGAGATGACGAGAGGTAAACCCAACAGCTATCTTCAGTCAGATGATATTGCATTGTTGAGTTCAATTGCACGTACTTGGCTTCATTCCAACGATGTTATTACAACTGGCGGGGTCGATGATTGAACCATACGTCTCTCCGCCCAAGGTAACTGTAGCCAAACCAAGCCTTCGATTATCAGCTGGTTTCTATACCTCGGTAGTCTTACTCACGAAGCTGCAACGGCGCTCCCACTGGAACTACCAGACGGATCTTGATGAGGATAGAACGCTCCATATGTCTGTCCACCGTATGCCGACCAGCCGTTGCTCGAGTTCCATGGTATCCTAAAGCTGCCCCATTCGCTGGGATTTGTCTTCCCCAGGATGATGGCGCCTGCTTCTCTGAGTTTCTTTGCGATGGTCGAATCGGATGGAACCTTAGCTCCGACCAGCGCGTAAGATCCAGCAGTGTTGTTCATCTTGTCTTTCGTGGCGATCTTGAATTGGGGTTGACGTCAGTATAACATGCTTCACCCGAGATTAAGGTATTCGTTTCTCCACGCGAGGTAAAGAGCTCACCGTGTCTTTGATGAGGATAGGAATGCCATGTAGCGGTCTATAAATCAGCGAATGCTGTGAGTATCTCAAACATTGTGCTCACCCTCGCACCATACCCCTCGAGCGCTCCTCGTCAAGCCCACTCGCTATCTCCAGCGCATCGGGATTGATCTCGACTACTGGGCGTAGTACGTCTTTCACTTCGTTGATACGAGCGATGTAAGTCTATTCCACAGCGTTAATCAATGATGCCGCGGATAGTGTTCAATGTTCAGCTACTTGCATTGACGAGATCCACACTGGTGAATTGGTTCTGCCCCAAGCCCTTCGTCACCGTTTCGATATCGGCTTCGTACAAGCTCGGAAACTGAACTTTTCCGACAGGTTGTTTGAAGTACCATCCCGAGCCTGCGCCTCCAATAATCAACGCGCCTAAGAGGACTCCGTAAACCATAGCTTTTGAAGAACCACGCCGGCGAAGAGTATCGTTGCCTGATTTATCTGCGGGTATACGGTGATACGAAGAGTCTATAGGAGCGAAGTAGTTGAGTAATCTCTCAAACCGATGTGGTAACCACGGACCGGTCAACGTGTCTCCGGTAGGCATAGAGCGAAGTCTCTCCGTGGAAGGCTTCATATCATCGACCCTACCAACGCTCCTCTGTAGCTCGCATGCCGCCACGTGTGACAGAGCTGTGCTTGGTTGTGTCCTAGGACTTGGTGCTCAGCTGCGATAGGAGCGGGTGCCTAGCGCGGAATTCGGCCCCGCACCTGCACGATGATGATGGCAGCAAACAAATACTCGCAGCTTCCTTTCTACAACCCAAGTCAATACTCTCCGTCGTCGCAGCATCAACATGAGTGGCTGTCGAGCGCGTCTGCACGTCTCGCGCTGACATGGTTGGTACTCATCAAGCATACTTTACACCAGGTTATTGCGCTTCTTTGCTACACGCGACCAGCAGTGTCAACCGAACTAAAATAGCAAAGCAAACATGTTTCATCTTCGATCTGGCCTACACTCTACTTCTCTACGCTTTCCTCGCCACTCACCCTGTCGACGGGCTTGGGCATTTCAAGGCTTGATCTGGGCGGGGCACTTAGGACCGAAGAATTGTCATCCTCTTCCTCTTCATTTCTGCCGTACACCCTGTACACCAACTGCCAGCTTTCGACTTCCTTTTGGCTTGGCCAATGTTTCAGATTTTTCCAGGCCAACATATTCGTAAGGGACACGGACCTCGTCAAGTCTAACGAATAACCAAGGATTCCTGGAGCGGCACGTTCTATCGAATTCGCTGTCCGCTGCCACGCATGCCCATGCCCCCTTGATTGCTTGACGTTTGTCTCGAACGAGTCTAAGATCTCTTCGCAATGGCAGGCATTGTATACTTCCTGTTGTTCCAGGCTGAATCCATCTTTGCCCAGTCTCACGCTGCGCTGGGTCTCATCAGCAAGTCGAAGGGCATGGTGCCTCTCCGAACGCAAGGGTGTTCGCTGCCGATTTCCTGTTGCACCTGGACCCCCTTCGGAAGTAATGATGCTTCCACAAGAGTGCGTACATATTTGCTCAGTGGTGTGGCTCGGTAAATGCTGCGACTTCCTTTCTTCGTCCAACTTGATAATCATAGCGAGAAACTCATCGGGCGTTTTAGGTGGGGTTATGCTCTGCTGTGAAGTAGTAGGGCTCATGCTTGTACTGGACTATGTGGAACAAACCTTGAGCTTCCGTGACTTTATTGTGAAGATTATCTGTCTTACTGCTTCCTGGCTTCTGTAGTTCTTTGCGACAGGCTTGCATAGCCGATATATAGTATTGGCGGCAGAAGTTTGATCTTGCACATGACGTCTGGACAACTTCCCCATGACTTGTGACTACGTTTGAGATATCTTCCACACGCTCGTCACAGTCGTAACAGATTGAGCGTTCGAGAAGCAAATATACTGGTGTTCCTTCGCATCTGGTCGATGCGAATTGTGGGAGAAGCGTCTTGTGCCTATCGAGCTCAACATATCTTCCGCTACGTATATTTAGAAGTCTCTTCACCATGCTCTAGTTTGATGTCATGTTATGCAGCGTTTTAGAGGAAATATGAGTCGGGAGAGTATATTTCAAGAAAACTTTTCAACCTCTCTACTCAGTAATAACATCGCTAATGAAACCGGTAGCAGCTCTGACCAACGCCGCCGTATACCATGCCCGATCGCCACACCAGTTCCCACCCTTCAGCTTCACCCTCCGTAGGCCAAAACAGCGTATCGTCCCAATTATCGAAAACAGCCTCAAAGTGACACAAATCAAGCGGAAGACCAAGTGTATCATTAGCGAATCTTTCCACAGACCTTGCGATTCCTCTGCCGAACTCTTCCATGTCCGCTCAATTTCACAAGGTCTTCCCGGTAAGACGAACAACATGGGCAAGCATAGTACCAAACTTAGGCATGTACAAGCTCATGAAGCAACGTACTCATACGAGACATGGTCCTGCCACTCAAGTGACGAAAGTTTCTAAACAGTCTGACTTCCGATGCGGACAGTCTTACTACCGCATATGGTTGATTTGGACCCGCACAGGTGCAGTCACCCAGGCTATCCGGATCAGATGGCTGGTCTGACCAGTCAAACCGCACATCCATCCTATCCCATGGTGTGGTTTGGAAGAAGATTGTTGTCAAGAGGATGATTAGCCTTTCCATTTCTCACCCTTTTACGCTACGGGCGTCTGGGTGACCGAGTCGCTGCAGCATTGCTTGTTCAGAGCAGTCTTCGATCATGGCATTGAAAGCATCGATGGCCTTGAGCTGGGCATCTGTGAGGTGCTCACAGCTGACTTTTGACATATGCATCATCAGATCGCTGAGTTGAGAAGCCTGATGGCGCCAGAAGAGCAATGGCGTCCGCTCGTCGACTTGGTTGCCGAGTCGGTTGTGGACGGATATGGGTTTGACGACAGTGTTGCGGCAGTTCTTGCATGTTATGGGGGATATTTCACCTTGTGAGAGCTTTACGGGACTGGCCTTTTGGTACTCTTTGATCACGTGAAGAAACTCGTGTGAAGTTCTGGGAGGCTCGCGCCGATGTGATGGTCGAGCACCTTCGTAAGGACGAGAACGCGACGTCAGCTTATCAATTCTTATGGGTGGCATTATTTGATCTCTAATAATGGAGAGAGTGTACATCAACACATGTCCTCCAATGCAATACACGGTACTTATCGATGCAAGTACTGATTAGATGTCTCGATGTGAGCGAGACATGGAAGACCAATAAACCCACACAGAGATCAAAGACCAGAGACATTCGAAAAAAGCTGCAGGACATTGCGGATTCTGTTTTATACAATAGTCAACGTTTGATTTACTAACTAAGCCAACACATCAAGAGGTTCAATCTCCATGACACCCTACGTTACCACTCCAAATCCCACTCTTTGACTTCTTGCTGAGTTGGCCAATATAGCGGTACGCTCCAATTAGCTTGTATAGAGCTGAATCTTCCCAGAATTAGTGGTAGGTGAATGAAGCGAGGAGCATTGTGTTCCACCGAGCTCGCAATCCTCTGCCACGCTAGTCCGTGTCCCTTAAGTGATTCAACATCTTTCACAAACGATGGGCATCTACAAGCGTAGCAACCCAGATATGCGTGTACCAGCTCATGAAGAAGGGTACTCAGGCGTGACATGGTTCGGGCAGATAGATTTCCGTGGGGCGAAGCAGCCATGTAGTCGAAAGCCGACATTTCAATTCTGGGGTGCACATCGCATGTGTAACGGCCAAAAACATTGTCGTTAGAAGTTTTCCATTCGAACTCCAGCTCCATCTGATAGTCGCGGAAAAATATTGCTGATAAGAGCTTTATCAGATACTTCATCTGGTCTTTGGAGACGCTTCTTGCATCATACCATCCCAGTCTTCGCAACAGAGAGCCCGTTGCTTTGTCCTCTAGCAGTTCTTGAAAGGATGCGATCGCATCCAACTGCTCGTCCGTGGCAAACTCAGGTCCTTCTGACATGATAGCTTTAACTTCGTCGGAAAGTCGAAGAGCATGATGACTGGTCCTTCGCAGTGGGTCGCGCTTACGTGTTTGGTTTCCCAGCTTGTTGGTGTACTTTACAGCGCGGATGGCTTTGTCACAGGGATTGCGGCATTTCTCATTGTTTATCCAGTTCCCGAACCGCTGTAGACGGGTCATGTTGTGACGATCGATGATCATGTCGATGTATTCCTGTGGCGTCTTCGGATATTCAGCGTCGAGAGAAGTTATAGACATGTTGTATGCATCGCGAAGCTGTCTACACATGATGAATTGGTTGTATCTCTTCTGCAGAGACTGGCTGAGCGAGTTGCTATTTGTTGAGCTACTTGCTTGTGATGACATCGCGTGGTAGCTATATACGTACTGGGCCGTAAAGTCTCACAATATTTGAGACGCCCCAAAGCTCGGCCACAGCACGTCGCACCAGATCGAGACACTGGATTTCTACAGTGATGTGAAACAGTCGTAAACACATTATTCAAAACTCTGAGAGACTTCCTCTCGTAAGTTTTATAACTGGAAAGGTCTAGAGCCGCGTACCACAAAAGTCGTGAACAATAGGCCATACTCACAAAGAAACAGGCAAACAGGTCTCGAGATATGAAGTGAGATCTATCCGCGCCTTGTTCAGCCTCTACCCATCACCAGATACTCTACTATGGCTTCAAACGGACACAGCATCACCCATTCAACCACGACACCTCTAACTGAACCCAAATCAGTCTTCTACCGCCGCCTCCTAGCCCAAATCTTCGTCAAAGATTGCCTCTGCGAGAGTTGAACAAGAGACCATCACCTAAACTACCCCTACTCATGCTGTTTATGGCACGGCCCAAACTAAATCTTCATCCTACCCTGCGAGCGACCCACTATCGTCGTCCACTCCCGAATGAGACGATATGAAGCCCTCCAACTAGTCCGCAGCTCCATCCAGTACTTCAGTAGACCACGAATCGAACTGGATATCGGGCAAATCCGAGCTGCAACGGAGATACAGGAACTTCTCTACCATCGAGGTCTGATCGCGAAGCTTGGATCCTATGATACACGTCGCACCCTGTCCGTCAATGATATGAGAATACTGATTACGCGATTGCTATCCGTGTTCTTCTTTGGGGCAGCAATCCCGTTTGAATTCGCCTGGCAAAGCGATCTCCTAGAAACAAACGACTGGATCGGCGTCACTGTGACGGAAAATCGTAATGGCGAGGATGTCGAATGTATTGCTATTCATCCTACAAAAGTCAAGATCAGCGCCAGTCGTTCCACCAACTACAGCAGAGCTTTAGCGATACAGCGGCTTTCTACGTTGATGCATGAGCTTATTCATGCTGTGATTAAGACGCTGTGTTGTAGAGATTGCCGTGCTTCGAGTGACAACCTGGCGCACCATGGGAGGGCGTGGCAGAGGTTGGCTTTGGGCGTTGAGGGGCAGTTCGCGAGGTTGTTTGGGTTGAGCCTCGATTTGGGGAGGATGGATGGGGTTTTGAACGACATGGTGAGCCAAAGGGCTGCATTCAGCTACCCGAGCAGACATGACTTGGAGATCTATGGGTTTGTGGAGCCGCTGAGGGTGGGAACGGATATGCCGGGCGGTGGATGATGTGGAGATCATCGGTAACGTGATGCAGATATGCTCCAGAACTCAATGGACACAGCGACATGAACGTAGAAGGATATCATTACTAAAGCCACAGCAGCCGTCTAAAAGGTAATGTCGTAAATATATGCGCCAACGCAATGCAATGCAAAACTCTCCATGTATCTCTAACCTCTTCCCTTCAACAACACCCCTTCTCCCCACCACCACCCATCCCCCAAACCTCCAAATCATGCACACTAGGCAACTCACCCCCCTCACACTCCCTCAACGCACTCTGCCACCTGCCCAAATCCACATTCCCACCCACCACCACCCCCGCAACCTGCTCCACCTTCCGCGCCAAAACCTGCCACGCCCTCCCATGTCCCCTCTCGCCTATACAAGCCGCCCACATGGGACAACTCCGACACGTATACGCTTTCAGAAACGCGTGAATCATTTCATGCAGGAGGGTACCTAGCCGCGACTTCATCCTCGCTTGCTGTGTTTGTGTCGGTGTGTCCAACGGCCTGTATCCACGGTACAGCATAGGATGGAGGAGGACCTGCGTTCCTACAATGGGGTTGTAGAAACTTTTGCCGAAACAATCACTTTGTCGTGAGTCTAGATAGCTGAATCCGGCGCTTAAGAGGTCGTTGTGGGATGGGACGTTTCCGGCGAAGAAAACGCGGTTTAGATGCGCGAAGAGCGTTGTTACTTGGCGTGCGGAGAGCGTGGAGCGGAGATTGTGCGATGTGAGATGCGGGTACCAATAGGAGAGTAGACTGCGCAGGTGCAGGACGGAGGGCGTGGGGCGCGCGGATGGGTGTAGGTATGTTGCGTCGAGCCAGGATATGTGATGGCGGACTAGGGACATGGATTCGTAGGTTCCGTGGAAGCGGAGGGTCAATGACGGCGCTGGGCTGGTGGGTTTGGGCAACTTTTCGGAGGAGAAGGAAGGCGTTTTGCGGTGGAGGTTTTTGGAGGTGTGTTTGTTGCGACGGTCGCGGAGGGCGCCGTGGGAGGCTAGGGTGGAGATTTTGTAGAGTTTCGGGGCGCATTCGTCGCACGTGCACGGAAGGTCTGCTTCCTGGACGTGGGCTTGGAGTTCGGCGAGGGATTTGGGCGGCGTGGTTGATATGGGAGCGTAGTCTTCGGTATGGGATTTCGTTGGGTTGCGGCCCAGGATGCGGTCTTCGATGAAGGACAATTTTGGGTCTAAGGCGTAGAGTGGTTCGAGGAAGGGGAGGAGATTGTGCCATCTTGATGCGCCGTGGCACGTTTTCCCCTCTTCTAGCTGGTCACCAAGTCGTCGGACATCGTTCTGTCTCTTCTGATGTTTTTCTCCATTGCCAAGGATGAGCTTTGCGATGCGCCGGATGGGATGGATTCGTCTTCTCTTCTTCTCCGACTTCTTCGTCTTCTTTGCAAGATTGCTTGCATCGTGCGTTTCCAGAACTGGCGGATTCCCCATGGGGTAGGCGTAATATTAATAAGTTTGATACAGGGCTATAAATTCGACATGATTGAAGGAAAACAAAAGAGTAACTCAAATCCGAGATTCGGCCCATTGGAAAGACGTGACAGCCGTTTTGGGGACATGGTGCTCTAACCGAACAGTGAGGCGGTAAGGGTGGTAAGATTGAAGGATTCGGATGCACAACAGGGGTGGGCTATCTGTCGCGATTGCGAGGCATGCCGCGCACAGACGGTTAGGGTCGTCTGAGGATCGGGACGAGGGTTCGTTGTGGCAGGTGATGCCGTTACGATGCCAGGCAGGTTTGGAGAGTCTGAATCCAAGACATAATGGACACTCGTTCTGCGAGTACAGGTATGTCGAGGCTATGTTTGGGGCTGCAGATTATCGCCAGAACGCGCGTTTCGTGGGCGCGAACGGGCATCTCGGGACTCCTGCCCTGGGTTGTGATGAAAGTTCCACAAAGACAACGGTCCGATACTGTGGCTGTTCATTTCTCGCACGCCACGTGGCGCAGTGTGGAGTGTGCATGACAGACGTTATCAGGGTCTTTTCTAGGTTCCGCTTCCGCTTATCCGACCCCTGTCCTGTGAAACGTTGCGCACGTTCACCCGGGCATGTGCCATCTCCTTCTTCGAGTCAGCCAAATGACGCTTCTTCAGGGTTATATCCGGTTTCTTCTGCGTCGCGTTCTGGTGTCAGAGTCTCTTTTGTCGTCGTTGCTGTCGTCACAGTGCTGCGTTCCCACGTTGTGGCACCGATCGTTGTTGCGCGGGCGGGGCTGGCGATGACGCTGTGTTCTGCAGTGCGGTGGCCTTGGGATCGAGGTATACTTCCGCGCCGGTAGGCCAGTTATTCTTGTACCGAACCAGATTCCATCGCCCGACACATCCTGACCGTATTAGAGTGAAGTAGTCTAGGCTTCTTGAATGCCATGCGTCCAACAACAGTATCAGCGAGGTTGAACTCGTCCCAATCCAAACGTCCTCTTGACTTTATGCCAAGACTCTCTTCATCCCAGATAAGGCCGAAGCATCGATCCAAATCCATGCGTATTCCCAATGAATTGGAGCTGACATACTCTACCTCTAGGGCTAACTGCTGCCAGACCACGCCATGATTGACGTTGTTACAGCGTGCGGAACAGATATGTCTGCAGAAGAAAGCATGGCAGAGCTCATGGATGAGCGTACCAAGACGACATTGCCTTCGTTTGTCAAAGACTTTTGGAAGAACCCCGTTGTTCAGCGGATTGGTGAGGGTAGGATCTACTTCGATCCTGCAGCCGTAGCTTCTGTGCATTGTCACCCCAAGAATCTTCCCTTTGCTTTTGGACAGATCGTCCACCCGGCCGAAATGAACTTTGAATGATGGTTCATGAGGAATAGGTTCCGAGTTGAAGAATATCTCCGACAGGTGGTTCAGGAGGCCTGCCATCTCCTTTTCAGATAGAGTCTTTCGCAAGTCTTTCGCGTTGAGACGCTCCTTCCAGTTGCTGATCATAGGATGGTTGCACAAGTTGCAATCGAAACTGTTGCCCACTGAAGCCTATCAGGAGCACATTGATTGTCAGCAAAATCTCTGCAGGATGGTGAAACCGAAAATGGGTTGTAGTTGCCATTTGGGATCTTTTGAGTGCCCACATGTATACGCTACGATGAGCGCATGAACGCTTATGCTGATACGTTACATTCAAAGAGAGTATCATTGGACCTGCGTGCAGCAGATGACAGTCGCAAATCTGCACACGCATACCGTCCTCTCGATCCATCGACAAGACCCCGCATAGTCAAGCAGGAGTCTATTCGAAGACGAGGCTGAAGATGCGCATAGCGCTTCGTTGCTTGTAGCTAAAGCTAGATAGGTGAGGGCTCCACTATTTCATATGTGGGGTGAAGAGCAGGAAACAGCGCATGGACGATCGCTCCGCCATTCCGTCGCTTTGAGAAGATGATGTGACTCTACAGAATACCACGGACGTCATTGGAAAGAGAGGGCCATGGTCACTGCATACAGCGCCGACGAAGGCCCAGTATGCCGACATCGAGAGGCAGTCCCAGAGTATACAACGTGTAACTACAATGTCGCCCGACCGCGACAACGCAAGGCTATTTTTGTTAGCGAGACCAGATCACTTCCTGTATATATACGAGTCCGTGGGATGAGGAAGCTGAGTAATGGGTTTCGTCAAGTTTCTGTGGACAGAGCGTAAGGTGAATGCGGTCGGATGCCCGACATACGTTACGCGCGAGCATAGCATGCAATGAGGCTTGGCGATGGGGTCAAACGGTGCGGTGTGCATTGTGAGTACGTCCAGCCGAAGAAGAGGTGTCTTCAGCCCCCTCCGACTAGCAGTCGCGGGGAGTCCGAGAGAGCTGATGAGCGTGCGATGACATTCGTCATTGGTGCATCTAAGACGCGCCTCTATGCATGCGTCTGAGCAAACCGATGCCGCAAGCATATAGACCCCGCGTCTTTGGCCTCATATGGCACCGAAACCGTAGCTGTAGACCACTTGCGATGAGATTATTCAGCCCCCAGCTACAGTGTGCATCGGTGACGCCGACTCGATGCAGTGAGGTTTGAGGAGATAGTACTGTGTAAGATGATTCCCGTCGATCCTCGGGTAGATTACTCTGCTCCTGATTGCGACAGCAGTTGATCAGACCTCCGCGATTTGTAAGTAGTTTGAGGCCGCTACAACTGGTCGAGACAGCTGTTTGGTGGTTTCGCGAAGTAGGCGTTCGAGATCGACATGCTCATTTGCGACCCTGACTAGATAAGACAAGTTCAGGCTCGGTGATGAGTGTGAGTAGTGAGCTGGGTTGACTTCAGCTCGGGCAGCGCGACTTGCCGTTGTCTTCAGTGCGATAGTGCGATAGAAACGAAGATGTTCGCGAAGGATAGTACGACAGAACTCTAGATCCGGTGTCCATGATTCGCTGCATTGAGTGACGCAGGGACTGATACTAACGGGGAAGGCGGAGTGGATCCAAGATTCAGGAGCAGAGAGAGATTGGAGGTTACAGCTCAAACAGGTAGGCTCATTCCGGTGAAGGCCTAAAACGAGTTCCGCTGTCGGGTTGTTAGTCCACTGTTGACGAATCACAGGCGTGTCGCCCCAGACCTTCGGGTACCTCAAACTGTGGCTTCATGCAAGAGTCAGCCACGTCTGACGGGAGAGCACCCTGATCCCCAATGGAACTATCAGGGGTCACGGTCAGCATCCGGGGCGGATCCACACGGTGGCGAAAGCCATCCATGGTCGAAGGACCGAAATTAAAGAAAACTGCACATGTAACGTCGGAGCGGATGCTACCCAAGGCTTGTTAGCGTGGTGGACTCGATGGTTCGGAATATTGGATATAGGGAATAAGAAAAGGGAGGTTTAGATAGGAGAGAACAAGAGAAAAAGCCGCCGCAAGTTGCTAGGGGGGACGATGGGACGTGGCATCTCGCGGCGCGTGGTTTCACCAAACGTGTGGATGACCCAGTGTTCAAACTTCAGAGTTGCGTGCATGGGATTTTGAAGGGTCATGTGTGATGTGCCGGGAGTTCCCTACAGCTTCAGCTGCTAAGCAGTGCCGATCCGTATGATGGGGAGCGCCAGCGGCGATAGTGAGCAGCTCTAGCGACACTGGGCGTGGGAATAAGGATAGCTCGCACTGCAGTTTGACGCTGGCGGTTTCCGGGACGTGGTTGAGATTCGCCGTCTTGAACCGGCTTCCGAGGAGCTTCTGCCTCTCCTTCTGGATCGAGGACTAGACGCAGCAGACTGCGCACTTATTGGCTTTGCCAGAAAACTCCGCAGCCAGTCGATGGGCGCCGATCGCTTCTCTAGATTTCGCATTGTCTGCATCGACGAATGAGAGGTGCCGCGGGCTTTTGGGCTGTGAGGGAGTCCTTGCAGGCTTCCAGAAGGCAGCCCTTGGTCCTCGCTTCCAGCTGCCCTCACTCAGCCCTGACTGCTGCCGTCATGTAGTAAGCCGGGAGTGAGGATGAAAGTGCGGCAGTTTGGGGGCGCATGACCGCCGCCGTCAATTTGCAGCAAATGCCATAGTGTCCGCATCGACATCTTCCGCGCGATAGGAGGGAGCATCGCCAGGGAATAGAGATGAAGCATTGGGAGCTAGGCCGGGATTGCAATCCTACTCGAGTGGAGCGGTTGAGGAATGAGGAGTGCAGCGCCAACGGCAAGTGCCCAGTGGCTGCTAGCCAGAAGCATGGTAAACTTGGCCCCAGCGCCCTAGTCTCGCCCTAGTCCCACGCCCCCAAGCCGCGGAACGCCATGGGCAGCGCCTTATAGTATCCTTCGCCGCCGTCATTTGCGTCTTTAGCTCTCTGTCACGACGCTGATAACATACCTACCCCGGCCGACCATCCAGTCTTTACAACAACACAATGGCCACCATGTTCCGCGACTTCTCCTTCGACCCGGCACCGTCACCTGACTACTCCGCCTACGAAGCTGAGCGGGCAGCTATGAACGTCTCGCCCACGTCACAGGCGATAGACCCGCATTACACGCCAAATCGCCCTCCTACTCCACCATGCACTATGGGCGACCTCGCCGTGCAACTCAATCAGCAAAGCCTTCGCATCGACACCACTGTCCGCTGCTATCCTGCTGGCCCTCTCACACCGGGAAGCGATGATGACGAATGCGCGCCTTCCACAAAACAAGAACAGCAGGCGCGACCCACCTACTCGCGCATCGCAGCCTCCGTCCTCAGAATGCAACGCCAACAGAGCTCGCGCCTGCAGTGCAGCTCATCACACGCCCGCGACCTCTCCAAGCTGGTCAAGATGATCGAGGAGGAGAAGCAGTGCACCGTCAGCGAGTCCTCGTCGCGAACATCCTCCACATCCTCGACATCTACATGCGCATCTGGCAGCTCTGGAGATGACGAGGGCGTCGACATGGACTACGATGTTCCTGCCTCAGGCATCGAGACACTTGCCAGCATGCCAGTGTGGAAAGCACACGAAAGGCGCGAGAGCTGCGTCCGCGTCACCCGACCTGTGCGCATGCGCAAGCGGTCCAAGGGCAACGGCGTATCGAAGAGGCGGTCATCATAGTACTATCAGTCGAAATTTGGTTACATGCATAGCGAAAGGCGTTTGGGATGTCACTACGGGCGCATTATACCACTTGATCTTGCTGGAAACAAGGCAACATTGGACAGGGCCTGGAGATGTATTATTATATTACCATCGGGTGGAAGAGCTCCCTTAGGGTTGAGCCTGGCGTTATCGGGTGCGACAAGCTGAGCGCTGTCGTTACACCCACCTAACTATATAATCACAACCATCATCAACATGCAACACACTCCCATTATGCTCTCTTATCGTGACCTATCAACCCGACCCAACCTAGTGTTCCTTTCCCGCGTTGCTGCATGTTCCGCGAACCTGAGCATTGGTAAATTGGTGACCCACATGGCTGTTGATCGCAAGTTCGTAAATTCGTGCCGCATCCGTCCCACCTAGCCACAACCACAACAACCGCCATGTCTGTCCGCCGAGCGCTGGCACCGCGCTCCATCCACTTGCGCATCGTGCCACGTCCCGCCAATCTGTCCGAAAGTCGCGAGATATTCCGCGTCCTCCAACGCTTCGGCGAAATCAGCACCTTCAAGTATCTACGGGTATGTCTTCCTTCCCCGCCGTGTCTGCTTCTTCCAAACAAGTACTCACACGACGCACAGTACGAGTACCAGAACCCCGCCGACAATGTCGCCCTCGCCATCTACCGCGACGAAGCCGCCGCCCAGAGCGCTCTCGACGCTTCGCCCCTCCGCTTCGCCCTCGAGAAGCTCGTAACCAGTGACGCCGACGCCGACGCCGACGCCCAATTCCAGGCCGCCGAAGAAGACGAAGACGACACGTCCATTCAGCAAACCCCCCAGAAAGACGGCATCGACGAGATCCTCCGCCCCTCACAACTCCTAAACCGCACCTTACCTACCCCCACCAGCACCACCTCCTCCGCACCAACACCCCCCTCCAAACCCCTCCCCTTCGACCCCCCACCGCACACGTCCTCCCAAAAGAAATCCACAAAATGGTTTCAAGTAACCGTCGACCGTTCCCGCGCCGTACACCCCGATTTCATCGAACGCCAGCCCTACTGGAAGCAATTCCACCCCATGAAGAGCATGGCGCAAGCGGATTTGGAAAAGAGCGTACCGCATGTGGGGCTGAGCGATGTGAGTAAGAGGCCGCCGAATGCATATCGTACGCCGGCAAGAGTGCTCAGGGTCATGAATGAGTATGTGGAGAAGAGGATGCCGAGTTTGAGGGGGATTGTGGAGGGAGGCGAGAATGAGAGGGGGTTTGAGGAGAGGAGGGGGAGGGGTTGAGGATGGATGAAGAAAGCACAGACTGTACGACGGACTGGAACGGTCGCGTTCAGAGCGGCACACACACGACATGGTCTTAGCCGACGACTTCGGAAAGAGTGTCTACACACTATACGTCGAGACGGGACGCGGTGGGATCGGTTGGCAGGACGCTCACATGGCAGCGATGAAGTGGAGGAACACTGGGATTGGAACGGAGATGTGACACATACCCACGACATCCTCCTCAGGGAAAGCCTGTCGCGCTGGTTTATACATTCTGTCGACCTCCAGCATATCCCCATCGAAACGAAAACGATCGAACCAAAGACACGACAAATTCCCAAACCATCGCCGTAATGAGGACGCATAGCTTCGACTCACACGCTCGAGTTCGCGACCAAAATCCTGATTCAGATACGATCGTTCAAGCCTAAGTTTGGCGGTAATCATAATACTGTCGAAGTAGCACGACTACCATCAAAGTAAGGCTGGAAGAATCTGCAACGATAAGAATCCAGATTTCCACAGGGCATGCGTACTACGCGTGTGATCGTCGTCTCCGGCGCTCCCCCTCCGACCCTCCGACCTCCTCGATTCGACTCGCGTACCGAGCGGCCGCCTAGTATTCCCTTCGACCGCCTTGGCCACTGTTTGAAAGAACCTCGAGAATGGGCGGCTGTGAAGGGAGGTTGTATCACAATCACGACAAACCAACTCCGTCATCAATGCGCGTAACATGGGACGCGACAGAGTACCCAACTGCTCAGTAGCGAGAGAAGCTTGAAAAGGGTCTTATCAGACTGGCTGTGTGCTAAATCCCCTACACTTTCTTCTGGGAGTGAATAGGTTCGGTACCAGCGTAGCCATGGGGTGAACGGAGTCAGTACGATCCTACCCTATTCAACCCACTATACAACCAATCTCCATCGCGCCCTAGTCACATGATCCATTTCTTCCACATCGTGCACATGTGCGAAGTGGAAGAAATAGATCGTGTGATTACGGTGCGATGCAGATCAGATGGAGGGTAGTCTAGATGGGTTTTTGCATTTTCATCGTTCTGGCTGTGTGTCAAAGCGCCTACACTCTCCTCCTGGGGTGAATAGGTTATGGCACCAGCATGTAGGCGCATCGGTGTTTCCTCGAGCTCCATCTTCGGGGGAACACCGATGCGCCTATATTCCGCTGCGAAGATCCGTATCTGAGGTGAGCTATCTTGTACGCTCGCACAAATGTATAGAAGGGACTTTAGGGGTTGAGATACGGTTTCTAGACATCTCATGTGGCATGTGAGATGTTGGACAGCGCATATATCATACGCGGAGTAGACACGAACGCACTGTACGTGCATCCAAAGACTAGAACAGAGTTGGTTGTTTGTATTACCACACATTATAAATTCATAGTTTTTGTAGTTATACAGTCGCTATCAAAAGAATCCCCACCCAGCCGCACCTCAGACACGGGATAATCAGACGCCTCATACATACATGAACAACCGAAAAATCAGGGGTATAACCTCCACAAACTCCATTACCATGCCACGGTTGAAACACCGCTTTTGTTTTCTTCATCCATGACCAAAGACATACATGAGTAATAAAACAAGAAAATATACAAGCCATCGGATGAAACCATCAATCACTAAGATCGATAATCTCAACCTCAGCTGGAACCAATCGTCTCGAAGCAACAGATTCAGGCGTGGCACTCGAAACACCCTCTCTTACCTCAGCTTTAGGTGTCCACTTTCCATCCTGCCTCACGATGATATGGCGTGTATTTGCCAATCCACGGGCCTCGAGCTGCTTCTTGATTTGCTCCATGAAGCCATCCACGAAGAGCATCTGTGGCCTCGCGTCAGATTTGCAAATGGGGCATTTCCACTGATCGGCCACGGATGCGTCGCCCTTGCGTGGCCGGGATTGGAGGAACGTTTCTAGGTCGAAGCAGTCATTGTGTGGACAGGCTTTGCTGCGAACGGGAATGTCGCACATTTTGGCTTGGCTGAAGGGGTCGAAGAGGCCAATTGTGAGGGTGCTTTCAACAACGCTGATTTCGTCGTCGTCGTCGACGGCGGAGAGCTTGTTTTTGATGCCTTGTAGGACTTTGTCTGCAGGGACGCGACTCTGGTTTAGACAGTGTTTTATGATGGGCTCATGGGATGATACGACCATGGCCTCGATGGCGAGCATGTAGTTGAGATGAGTTGTCTCGCCGGACCGACCCATTACTGCAATCTCCAGAACATTCTCCCCTTCTTTGAGCAGGCGCGTGAGGTCGATAGGCATGTCTTTTCCATAGTGAATCTTCTTCCGCGGTTCAAGAGGGGTGTCGTTGAGCGTGTAATACGAGTGAGGTATCCAGGACGTATCAGCGACAGCCCAGCGGTCCTCTGTCCACTCAGACCCCGGCCACTTGACACATCGTAGACGGGCAGATTTCGTGGTTTCGTTAATGTTCACAGTACCAGGTCCACCCAGTTGATCTGGAATAGTCTTTCCAATCCTCTGCATATCATAAGGTGTCAGAGTGAGTGTCCACTTCTCAATGGCACGGCCTGGCGAGGACAACCGCGTTGGGGATTTGAGGAAATTCTGACAAAACATGTATAGGGGCGGAGATTTAGACTGTGCACGAAGAACTGGACTTCGGAGATGAGCTTGGTGTAGACCAAAGCGTGCTGGATTGGGTACACGCTGTTGTGGTTGTTGGTAGCCAGCAGCAGGAAGCAAGGGCCCCCCACGTGGAGCCGACGGCACCCCAGTAGGTTGGGCAGGGCGCGTAGGAGGACGACCAGGCCCACGCAACTGCTGGATAGCAGCCTGTGCCGAAACTGCGTCAACCGATCTAGTCGTGCGCGGCGGCATTCGTTGAAGATGATTGAGAGGTGTAACAGCGGGCGAGCTGGTTTGTACTCGTTGTGGCTGGGACTGGGCTTGTACTTGCTGCGGTTGCGACGGTTGCGACGGTGGGGCATGTACCTGTTGCTGAGGTTGGGGAGCGCCGTACGTATGATCATCCAATGAAGCGCCTTTCTTGCGAAGGTTAGCCTCGAATGTCTCGACTAGCGCTCTCAGCTTAGAGCCCCAAACTCGATCCTCGTCGTATTCTATTTGTTGGCTCTGCTCAGGCGTCTCTGCAGCTGAGTAAGCATGTCGTGTGTAGTGGTAGTTTTGATTCTGCTCGAAGATACCAACTATGTCGTTCTCGAACTTTGCAAGCAATGGTTTGACATTAGGATTCATGATCACCGCGCGGCAAATACACCGCAGAAAAGCGGTGAAAAGGAGACGCTGGAACGTGAGAGAAGGAATGCGGAGTTCGACAGCAAGTTCTCGGGCGAGGGGCGGGCATCGACGGTGCTCACATATCGCCTTCATTTGGTTATAATTGTGCGATTGGTCGACAAACTGTCTGAACAGCTGTGCTTGGTGCTCGAATGTGGCCGGCCACATGGCTGCAATCTGCTGCATTGGGTATGGGAAATGGGAGAAGAAGTGAAGATAATTAGGCGAGAGTATGTGGTTTGCGTCAAGGACATCGTGCAATATCCTCTGCGCTTGGGGTAAACCTGGTAGCGCCTTCAACCCCGCCGGTAGCATATGAGGGGCGTGGGTGATCAGGCAGTAACATTGATGCATAGTAAGATAGGGCCAGTCTGACATCTCAACAGCACCCTGTAGCACGAGAAAGCGTTTCCTGTCCTGAGAGTGAGGCGATATTGGAGGTTGTGATGCCTGGAATTGCATCAAGATCTGCACACAGTCTTTCTTCGTGTACCAGCCCTGGCTCACGAAATCAAGGGCCAAGGGGGTTGTAGGCGTGTTATCAGGCTGTATGAAGCGAGATACAGGCCGGGAGACTGGTTCTTGCGAGACCGCTTGGGGCGAGTATGGCTGAGGAAGTGTTCTGCTGAGGCGCAGATCTTGAAATTGCATGCCCTGGGGTAGTTGTGGCGATGCCATCATGCCGAGCGACGGGCTGCGACTAATAGTCTGACCCATCTGACCCAGCATAGGACTGCCGAGCTGTGAATAGTGGCCGGAGGGCCGACGCGGAAAGTCCGGCTGAGGATTTGTCGGGTTTGCTGCGGGCCCTGCATAAGCCTCGCTGCGCCTCCGCTTGTCCATCTGTTGCCCATATCCTTCGCTGACTCTTTTGGGAGGAGCAATCTCGTGTGGTGCTGCGGGCGGACAGCGCAATGTCTCCTCGCTTGGCGTGGGCGACGGAAGCACGCGGGCCACCGAATGTCCATGGTTGGCACTGTTCTGGTGGGCAACGACATTGGGGAGCTGGGGAGACGTGGAGTTGGAGAGTGGCTGCAGCTCGGTCTCGACGGTCGGGCGCGTGATCAGGCTCTCTGCGGATGCGTTTGTGGACGAGGGAACAGGAAATACGGGCTGTTTGCGAGGTCTTCCGCGACCGCGCACGGTGAAGGGTAACGGATTTTGTGTGACTTTGGCAGGAACGATGGGGGGCAGGGCAGGCGCGCTGGAGGGCAGCGGCGTCATCAAGCTCTTCTGTCTTCCCCCAAGGTTGCCCAGCGCATAGTTGAGCGTCTGCGCCGTCGCATCGTCTGGCACTCCTGGGGTCATGGCGTGACTCCAGGTGTGGTTCATGCCGCTCTGTTATGTTATGTATAGCCGCTTGAGAGTACGCGCTTGTCGCCTTCGAGTGCTGGACATGGGCGAGTTGGAATGTGGGGAGTTCATGTCGTGCAGGGAGATTATGAGCGACTCAGTGCATGGTAGTCGCGGCGGGTCGTGGGTGCCGAATGTGAATGTGGAGGGGGAATGAGCTTTTGTTGTCCAGGCTGCCGCGAGACACGTGAGAGAAGGCGCAATGAGGTCGTGGTGAAAGCCGGCTTCGCGACGACAGTGAGTCCTCACGATACCCGATGCCATGACGCACGGACAGCGATGTTTCGCGAACATGCCAGGTCGCTTTGGGCCAAGGCCATGGGCGCCGCCGGGGCTCTGGACGCTGGACGGCAAATAGTCAGCGGCCAAGTCAGAACCGCTCCAGGGCTGCCCGCTGCCGTACAAACCCACTTTGCCAATAGGCGCAGCGACTAGTCGAGATTTGCTTTGGG